CTTAGAGACTAAACAATGAGGAAGGGGGAAAAAAAGTTGGGCTGTGTATGACTGTCACCGCGGGGGTGGGGTGGGGTGTTGTATGTTTAAAATTGTATTTGTATTTGTATGTTTTATTCTTTAAAAAAATGTATAACCAATAAAGATTATTAAAATAAATAAATAAATAAATATTTATATATACTTATCAGACAAAACATTGCTATCTCTTTTTAGGCAATTTGAATAGATGCTGTGGTCTTTTGTACAGGATTTATAGTCTGCCTTTTGCTATAGGCTTTCCTTCTCCTAACTATAAATAGTTATCCTGTAATTATAAAATTTCATAGGCATATATCCATATTCCATATCATTCAGTGAAAGCCAGAGTGAGAACAGTGGAAAATATAATAATAGAAATGACAGCTAGGAGGTAGGGAGAGGAGGAGAGAGGGAGAAGAAAGTGATGGATAGGGTACAAATATGATGTATGGAGAGCAGGAGAGCCAATAATTTTTTGGGGAGTTGATGGTACGATGAGTTGATGTAAACATTTAACAATATAAAAGGTTTGTTATGTAATAGTATACATGTGGTTACTTGTTATGAAAATGAAAAAATAAAAAAAGTTTATATATGTATGTGTGTGTATGTATGTATATATTTGTGTGTGTGTGTGTAGATTTTCACAGGTACAGGTATGCAGGTCTTGGTGTATTCAGGTTTTTTCCCGTGTAAGTTTGAGAGTATCTTGGCAATGTTTCGACGAGGTCACACTTGTCATGTTCAGGCTGGTGCCTTCGGCTTCATGCTTGTGCGACCAAAGCGTGATCGGAGCTGCCGTCTTTCTGGCTGTGGTGCGCGCTGCTGCCATGACAGTGCCTGTCTCCTCTCCAGCCCTTGCAAAATTTTCCACCACCTCCTGCAAACAGGCACGCCTGCTTAGTCTGCACCTCCTCGCGCTCGGCTCATTTTTCAGAACCTTGAGTGGAGATGAGCCAGAGGGAAGAATGAGCTGAGTGCGAGGAGGTGCAGACTAAGCAGGCACGCCCGTTTGCTGGAGGTGGAGGAAGTGGAAAATTTTACAAGGGCTGGAGAGGAGGCACGCGCCATCGAAGCAGCACGTGCTATGGCCAGAAAGATGGCAGCTCCGATTACGCTTTGCTTGCACAAGCACGAAGCCGAAGGCACCAGCCTGAAGATGGCGAGTAAGACCTCTTCAAAAATGTCATCATGATACTCTCAATCTTACACGGGAAAAGACCCGAATATGCCAAGACCTGCATGTATGCATGTATGTTTGTTTTCGTAGATTTTAATGGGTGTAGGTATGCTGATCTTGTTGTATTCGGGTCTTTTCATGTATAAGATTGAGATTGTCTTGGCAACCTTTCATCGAGGTCCCACTCGCACAAGCATGAAGCCGAAAACACCAGTCTGAAGATGGCGAGTGGGACCTCTTTATATATATATAAAGAAATGACAGCTAAAGATCAGATAGACGAATCTTAAATACCCCTGAAAATGATAAAATGAAAAGACTCCGAAGTACCTAAAATATAACAGTCAAGACTCTTATCAGACGACGCTGAGGAGAGAAAGCGCTCAGTAAGTTGCCACCACAAGGAATAGTTCCTCTTCAAATGAGCTTTGGAAAAGCAATGTCTATTTCCATAATTTGGGAATCTGCCTTGAGGGGTGAGGGAAAGAGATTCTGCTTAGGGAACATTCAGATAAGAAAAGGAGAAAACCCCAGTGCTTAACAGTCAAAGAAAGAAACTGAGAAAGAATCTGCCTGAATTGATAAGGCCATTAAAAATGATAGAGCGACATTTGTATTTTCAGACTTACAATATTCTATTAATGCAGCCTTACCACAAACTAGAATTAGGTCATCTGCTTGAAGAAACAGCCAAGTTTTCACAATCCACTGGGAGATTAAAAGGTTTAGGATCCCTCATAATGTTGGGTTTGAGGCTGTTCCATGACTGAGACACCAACAACACTATTTAGGCCAGCGGGTTACATCGAGTTACGACCACAATTGAGCCTAAAATTTATGTTGCTGATTGAAACATTTCTTAAGTGAGTTTGTTCCATTTTATGACTTGTACCTGTATTGCATGCTTTGCTTATCCCTTGCTAATGATTTAAAGGATTTAATTCTAAAGATGGAGAGATGCAGTTTTCAGTAAGACCATTAAAAAAAAAAACCTAACTATGAAATGCTGTTAAAGACTCAGAATATTATCTGTTTTTCTTTAAGGCTCCCTTACCTCATATTCCAAGGAGGGATGCCTCGAGCCAGCTTTGGTGACCGACATAGCATTACAGTTTCTCATGGCGGTCGGCAGATTGCCTTTGACTTCACATCACGGGTTATAGACTTCTTTGTCATTGCCAATGCTGAACCATTTGCAGGTATGTAGAAGGCTGAAATAGTGATCTAATACAGTATCATTTCTGAACTCTTGGAGACTAATTGACTAATTTGTGAGTAGTTTGTTCCCTTGTCACACCATTCCTCTATATTCCTTAGAAGAACTGAAGTGCTTGCCTGTTCGTTTTTAGGTTCAATTACATTTAAACCCTAAGCCACTTAAGTTTTTAAAGACTGTGAAGCAACTATTAACTTGCTCATAACTCAAAACGTGTTTCTGATACCCTTCTCCAAATACATTTGTTGCAGAGGCTAAATATCACTTCCTTCTGCAGATAATTGTAGGTGGTGTGCCCTGATTTTGGAATATTATTTTGTGAAGTTATCCCTATTATCTATTTTACAAACATTTAGATGCCAGGGTAGGGTGCTGTTGTTCACTCAAGCACTTTCATTTTGTTTTCTGTTTTATATCTAGCCTTTTATCTCACACAGTATACAGTAGGTAGAAATGTACTGTAATCTGTCAGTGGTTTTGCTGCAGGTTGCTATCATGAGATTTTTTGTTTTGTTGTAGTATATTTCACATATATTATGCACTGATTTTACTCCATTAGCATGTATTAAATAGTGTGTATTCGATATTTAAAGTGTATTCGATATTTAAATAGTATTCAAAAGTATTAAATGTACATTAAAGTGAAAACAAAACATCCAGATAAAAGAATGAAATATAAAACGTTGGGGAAAATTGATTTTAAATATAGATAGTAGTTGAAAAAAATCACATATCTTCCCCATTGCAATACATTGATATAGCAATCTGGAACAAACCTTACTTTATTGAAATGCAGGAACTGTTTCACAATGTTCACATCTTTTTTTCTGATTTGTACCCAATACATCAAAGATTCATTATTGTTAATTGATATCTGGAACATTTAATTGAACAAACAAATAGTTGAGAGGAGGAAGGAAATCAGACCTGCTTCTTGTACCGGTGATTGCTGGGACTTAATGAGAGACAGACTTCAAGGGGAAAGGGCCCTAGTGCCCTTTGGATTTAAGTTATCCTTTCTTCCCCAAAGATTTGACTCCTAATTTACCAGGAAGCACCGCAGACTCATACTACTTGGGAAGGCTATCTTAAGTAACTGCAAATGAGTAAGCTTTCTTCGTGTGAAGCCCTGGGCTTTTCCTTATCTTGGTCTTGCTCCATCCCTTTGGCTTTGCTTCAGTTGCTTTCAGACAAAAGGAGCTGTTAATGCTATGCTCCATTCTTGTTCCTTGGGGGTGGGGGGAGAGAGAGAGAGAGAGAGAGAGAAAAGAAACACAAGCACTGAGCTCAGCTTTCTTCTGTATTTCTGCCAAAAGAGGCAGTGCAACCTCGGTCCCTTGGAAGTTCAGGGTCCTAGTGACGGTGCTTTGCTGACAAGCTGCTGGCACAAACCGCATGAATTGCAATGTAAACCGGAATTTGCCTGCTTAATCCAGGAAATTGTTCAGTCATCTGAGGTTTCTGTGGCTTGCAGTGGCTGCTTTCTAAAGCCTTTATCCAATCTTACTTATTGTTTGTTTTGCTCAGCACTTTGAGCCCTTCGGTCGCTCATTGTCCATGAGTAATATTCCTATAATTTCACGCCTGGTGTTGGGAAGCTGTTGTGTTTATTCAGGGCCTGGCCTCCGATCAGTTGAGGTGGTTTCTGAAAAAAAAGGTTGTTAGGAAGGATGTACAAAAATGCTGGCTACTCTGCCAGTTGGAAATAATACGAGAGGAGAATCTTTCTTTTCCAAGAACAACCCCTGTGGAGAACGGCACTCTTTTTTTTTAAATTTTATGTTTTTATACAGTGTTTTCTGCCTGAAATGTCCCACCAAATGTGGCCATTTCAGATGGCTTTATACTTTGACTTGGTTCCACCACAAAACCGCGGTAGACTAAAGCGCACTCGACGAAAGCGCGTACGTGACGTCATCACAGCGCAACGACAGAAGCGCGCTGTAATCTAACCCTAAACCTAACCCTAAACCTAACCCTAAACCTAACCCTAAACCT